TTCAGCAAGATAAAGATTTGTGTGAGAGCTTTTAATGAATTTCTTTCAATGATTTCGTCAACTGAAGAAGAGTGATGGAGTCTTGCTTTTATAGGCACAGAGGTCCAAGAAGTCTTTCACGTTGAAGGCTGTGTACTGAAAAGGTCTGAGCCTTTTTGTCTTCACATCACATGACCTTTCCTAGAAGTAGAATGCACAGATAAATCCTTTTTGTCTGTGTTCTTGTGTCTAGCATAAATGAGGAAAAAGTCGTTTGGCCAAACCAACGAACATAACTTTGAATTCTTCTTCAACAAGTTTCAGCAAATATCATCAGATTCTTGAGTGGTCAGAGTCTTCTGATGTTCATCAGAGTTTGCTAAATCAGAGCAATGCAACAAGTGTGCTTTCAGCGTGTAATACTTCAGAGCAGAGTTTGGGATTAGATCCTTTGTACTGGAAGCATAGTACTATCAGAGTCTTCTGAAATAAACTAAGCTTGAAACTCTTCATACAGAATACTTCAATGCTTCAGATGCCTTTGGCTTCTACTTCAGATTCTTCTATAGCTTCTGCTTCAGATCCTTCTATAGACATCGCTCAGAATCTTCTGTAGGCAGCGTTCAGAATCTTCTAAGAGATGCTTCTGACGCTTCAGAGTCTTGCATACTTTCATGTTCAGATCTAATTTGCTTTCAGAATAAGATTCACTTTTAATATCTGCAGCAAACATACTTAACCAAATTTTAGAGTATATAGTTCTTTAATACAAAATTTCATAAGAGTTATCATCAAAACATAGAGATATAATTAAGAACCAATCTGTGTTCTAACAATCTCCCCCCTTTTGATGATGACAAAAACATAAGAAATTTTGTTCAATAAAAAATAATTATAACTCCCCCTGAGATTAAGAATCTCCCCCTGAATTGAATACTTAGAAGAAATAGAAACTTCCCTTTTGCATGAGTATTCTTTTCAGAATCAGAGCCTGGTTGTTCCAAAAATTAGATCTTGACTTGGAAGGATGTTTCAGAATCAGAGCCTGATAGGTTAAAGCTTGATCTGGGGATCTCAGAGTTACTTTTAAAGAATTTGTCAGATTTTTCAAATGTTCTGAAATGCTAAGAATTCACGTTAGTTATAATTAGATATGTCTGAGTTTCATTTAGGTGGAGTTTATTTGAACAGTCAGATCCATTTCTCCCCCTTTTTGTCATAATCAAAAAGTAAAACTTTTAAAGACAAATAATGAGAAAATAAGGTTTTTATAGACACAATAAGATTTTTAATGACATCTTTTTCATCATTATCATAAAGAGAAAATACATTACTAACCTCATCACCTTCATCATTGGAATTGTGTGTAGCCATTAATGCTAGATTTTCACTTTCGTTGCTTTCCGAATCGGATGATGAACTTATTTCATTATCTTCCCATGCAATATATGCCTTATTATTCTTTGTATCCTTTTTGCCTTTGATCAATCCACCTTTCTTTGAAAGATTCAGACAATCTAACTTTATATGATATTGTTTACCACATTCATAACATGTGACATCTTGTGTTGAAGTGGAAGCCTCATTTTTCTTGAAATGTTTATTTCTTTTTGCATAATTAAAGGATTTATCATTTTTACCAAAGAACTTACCAAGTCTTTTTACAAGGAGTATGAAGTTTTCATCTTCCTACGGTGCATCAGCATCTTGATCTTCTTTTGAATCTACTTTCAAAGTGATGCCTTTGGGTTTCTTCTCTTGATTCTGATTCTTTTCAAGTCTCCCCAGTTCAAATTCATGTTCTTGGAGTTTTCCAAATAATGATGTGGATGTCATGGTAGAAATACTTTTCTTTTCTGATATTGACGTCACTTTTGGTTGTCATTCTCTAGTCAAGGATCTTAGTACTTTAAGGTTCAATTCATCATTAGAAAATGTTTTACCAAGTGCAATCAAGTGATTTGTTAAATGTACGAATATTTTTTGTAAAGTGACGATGGATTCTCCGGACTGCATTCAGAATATTTCATATTCTTGACTTAATATATTCAATCTTGATCTTTTAACTTCGGTGGTTCCTTCATGTGTCTCCACCAAAGTGTCCCAAATTTCTTTTGCGATTTACATTGAGAAATATAGAAGAATTCATCCATACTTAATACACTTTATAGTATGTTAATGGCTTTCTTCTCATTAAGAACTTTCTTTTTATCATCTTCATCGTAAGAACTTTTAGTCTTTGAAGTTTCGACACCATTGATGACACTAATAGGATTATGTGGACCATTTTTGACGGTTTCCCAAACTCCATCTCCCTGTGCTTCTAAATGTGCCTTCATGCGTATATTCCAAAAATCAAAGTATTCGCTAGAAAATAGTGAGGGTTTGTTGCTACTACCATCATCCTTGAAAATCAGATTTTTGCTTGTGGAAGCCATACTAATCTATAAGAATAGGTTACCTATAACCTGCTCTGATGTCAATTGTAATTATAGTTTGCACCTAAGAGGAGGGGGGGGGGGGGGGGGGGTGAATTAGGTACTTTGAAATTTTTCTGATTTTTATCTTTAAGTTGTGTTTTCTTTCCTGATTATTTTCTAAGTTATGAAAGCGATAAAGTGCGAAAAGTAAACGACGCAAGGATATATCCTGGTTTCCCTCACAGCCCAAGAGTACTCCAGTCCCCTTTTAACATAAAAGAGATTTTTAATATTCATGTGACCTATACAAGACTAATCCTAGTCTTCCTATCACTAACAAACCAAGAATAATCCTCTTGAAATTTTCACTAAGTTCAAATGAGAACAACCCTCTTGGAATTTTCACTAAGCTCAAATGAGAACAATCCTCTCAAAATGAACCTCTTGGTTTCAACAACCTGGACAACAAGGATAACAACTACACAATCCTATATCTAACAATCCTGAAAAATAAGATGTGATACAACAAGAGTTATTGAATTTTTACAAGAGCGATATGTAGAATAAACTTATCAATCTATTGATTGATCTTCTCCTTTGAACAAACAAATTATCAATGATATGCAAGTGTTCAATGTTATATGGAATGAAACTTAGAAAGCCTTTTAAATGAAGGTTAAGTGCAGAAAATTTTGCTCTTAAAATTCTGGTGTTGAACACTTAGAGAATTTTTGAAAGATGAGAAAAAAATTTGAATGTATGAAATTTTGCAAAAGGAGGTGAGTTTAAATATGAAAATAAAGGTGTTTATATAGACACAATTCACCTTTACTGATGAGTGCAATCAATAAAATATTTTCATGCTTCAAAAACCACATTTGGAAATCATTTGGCTGAAAAAATAAAGTATTTTTACATACTGCTTCAGTGTTAATCGATTAACCCATTTGTATTACCAAATGACTAATCGATTAACCCATTGTAACGGGCAAAAAAATTCAAAAATTACAATGGTTAATCGATTAACAGATTAACACATGACTTGGTTAATCGATTAGCCAGTGTCTAAAGTTGAAAAATACTTTTGAAAATGATGTAAAATGCAATAATTTTCTAGAACAAATATTTTAATGAATCATGGCAAGTATGAGTGAGGTTTTGAACAATTGTATATGAAAAGACAAGTTGAGTTCATATACCTTAAAATTCATGATCAATAACCTAAAACTTCAAGATAATTGATACACTTTGAAACTTGAAATATGCTACTAGTCTTGAGCCATTTTCTTTTTTAGAGCTTCAATTGGTTGTTGAATGTTGTTGTCTTTATCAAAACATATTGAGAAGCTTGATTCTTCACCTAGTTCGATCAAATCAATCTACTATAAGGGAAGAACATCTATCTAATTCCTTATACTTCCAAAAATTGTTAGAAAATATTACCAAAGAGTTACAATAAAATAGTCACCCAAGTTCTCAAGAACATACTCTGTTTTCTATCCAAGCGTTTCTCAATTTCTCTAACTCTCTCTATATATATGAATAACACAAACTAAAAATGTTTAGAAGTGTTTCTCAACCTCTTTAAATACATCTAATAATTTCCCAAATTCTAAGAACTACAAAGAATTTCTACAATTGCCTTTCTAAGTTTCTCAATAAGATTACTAACCTACTATTAGTCTTGAGTTCTAAAGGTTGTTAAGACAAAAACGATAGAGATGCATATTTATAATTGTTCAAATTCAATAGATATTTAATGGTTTTAAACACAACATATTAACGAATAAACCAATGATGCAATCGGACCACCACTTAATCGTTGCCACCGGACCACCGAACAACGTTCGATGATCAACCGACCTCCAGAACTTGTTGCTCACTTTGGAAACCTCCGCCAGTTGACCTTGCCGCCATCGAACAGTCATCACTAGACCCCAATTCGAGCATACCGTCGACTATGATTGCCTCCATAGCAGCTCCAACTAATGATGGGCACCACCCCCTTGTTCTTCTTAGTGGCTCCACCATCTTTCGTCAATATTGTTAATGCTTTTTAGCTTTGTGATTTTAAAATTTTCAAGATATATTTTCTTTTATTTTATTACTTAAATGTTTTTCAAAAAATTTCAAGATAGATTTTATTTTATTTTATTACTTAAGTATTTTAAAGCACATCAATATTCATATCAATATCCTTTAAAATATTTGTTTTGATTATATCACTTTATTGTTCATATCATATCAAATATCTGTTTTAATTATATCATTTTATTGTTCATATCATATAAGATGACTTTATTATTCATATCCTATGATATCAATCACTTAATTTATAATTGTCTTTTATTAAAATATTTATATTTACATAATTATTGGTTGAGACCGTAAAAGTACATCATCCCTTTTCTTTAATCATTATCGATAACATTTTTAAAATTACTAAGAATAAAGTATATGTGACCCATGCCACTCACGAGGATTTTGACACTTAAATAAAAAATATAATATTATAAATAATTTAGTTTATCAAGCCAGTGGAAGAAGTCGAATCCAAATCCAATTCAATTTCAATCGGAGAAGAGACGAAGGGTTCATCTCATGGCGACTTCAAAGCTTCAAGCCTTTTTGAATCACCCAGCCGGACCCAAAACCAGTCAGTTACTTCGTTTTTTTGGTTTCCCTTTGTGTTTTTCTTTGTGAATTCATTGTTTTCCCTTTGATACGGTACCTAGCAGTTTTTTTATTAGTGATTAGTGACTTATTAGATGATCAATGTTTAATCTGATTACCGATTTATTAGGTCGTCAATGCTTAGTCTGGTTTTTGATTGCTCCGTAAAAAGGGGTAATTTTTTTAGGGTGAAGGGTTGCAAAAAGGTTGTTATTGGAAATTGGGGATTTGTTTATTAGTTTCAGTTCTTATTTCATTTTATTTCAGTGTAGTGTTTTGCTTTTTATGTTTATTGTGATGTTTTGCAATATCCTGATTCCGCACATATATGGCCTCAACATGTGCTAAGTGGGAGGAATCTTCGTTCTATAAGTTAGTTTTATAAGAATGAGTTAGGTCTAACCACAATTCTTAACATGATAAGAGTCAGGTTTAAGATCCGGTGGACCACCTGGACCATCTGCTATCAAGTTTCTACTATCGGGTCACCGACCATTAATTTCCACACTTCACAGTGTGTTAAGAGTCCCACATCTGACAAGTTTATAAGTGGGAGTAATCTTCATCCCACAAGCCTTCTTAATATTGATGCTTCTTCGTGAAACATGGACTTATTATTCATACTATCAAAGATTTAGAATTGTAGCACAATCTAGCCTTTTGTAGATAAGAAAAGATAATGAAGATTTATGCATCATGCACACACATACGCGCAGTGTATGAACACTCTCTTGGTCACTATTAGAAGTAAATTTGACTTTTTTTTAGTTCATTCGTATGTTGATGTATCTCATGTATCTGGTTTATATGTAGACGATACATCAATTGTTCAAAAAAGTTAATTTTGCTTATAATAGTGAGCGAAGAGACTATGTGTGTGTCAATTGCTTTAAGGATTAGTACCAATGTTGTCTCTTATTTTTTTACAGTTACCAATGTTGTTGTCAAGTGTTAATGTTGTTATTGTTGAACTGTATCGGTGCATAAATTGACCATTTATTTCGTGCAGTTCACTTCTGGGCCCCTACATTTAAATGGGGTATCAGCATTGCCAACATTGCTGATTTTTCAAAACCACCTGAGAAGATTTCATATCCTCAGCAAATAGGTATGCACCTGCATATATATAGCTGCATTTTGTGTTATCCATTGCAGACTTTTCTCTGTCCCACACACACTCGTGTGCGTTTGCTCATCATTCACCCTTGTATATTTATGGATTCTCTGAAAGGAGCCGCCATGTGCAAGTGAATGAATTCACGGAATGCTGAGTATTCAAGTTAATAGCAGTTCTTAGCATATATTGTCGTGTATTGAGTTTTAGTTACATCTATGCTTTGCTGAGTCCTTTTGTTTTTAACACAGCTGTCATGGCTACTGGACTTATCTGGTCGCGTTACAGCACTGTAATCACTCCAGTAAGTTTTTTTCCTCTCAAAGATAGATTACTTTTGACTAGTTCGTGAAAAATTGAAAATTTAGTGGATTGAGGATCATTTGCGGACCTTTAGTGCAAGTAAAGTTTCACTTCACTATCTTCATCACTATATGTGATGTGTGTTTGATTCTGGTTTGAAATTGCATTTTCTCTCTTGCAAAAGCATGACATACCGAACTTGTAAATTCTGTAACATCAGTTAAACACTGTAACATGGTATCTCTATCATGCAATGTAGAATCTATAAAGACTATACTTGTATTCCTGTTTAAATCATGCGATAATTAATATTGTTTTCTTCGGCATTTATCTCTTTCTCCATAATCTTTGGTTTCTTCTAAACTTTAGACCTTACTGTTGTTTGCTTTATCTGAATTGTTATCATATACCAATCAGCTACCTCCCTAAATGTATGCATGTCTGCCAACAAATTGAAATCTCATGCTAGGCTTAATATTAAACATGGAGTATACAATAATTTTAATCTCCATTGACACAGTGACTATTAGGTTCTATGTGCAATACAATTTTCCGTAATGCTGATATGTTAGTGGCTACTTTCGTTGTTGCAGAAAAATTGGAACCTTTTTAGCGTAAATGTTGCAATGGCAGGAACTGGCATATACCAACTCTCACGCAAATTGCGGTAAGTGATATTTTGCTACTTTGTGATTCAATGTTCATGGGCCCAAAAATATGTAGTTTATGAAGTTAGTGTGGCCTTTCATAGGACCAAAATAATGGGAACCTCAAACACTATTTTTATTCTGTACTTATAACATTTAGTTTTTCAGAGGATTGGATTGAATTTATCTTAAAATCAAATTTTGACATTTTCCTGAAAGGCAACATAGAAGGGCAAAATACAATTACAATGTCAATCGAAAAAACATCCTTTTTTTGTGTGTAGATTAACCTTGTGTGATAGCCATTGATATATTGGTGTTTTTGGAAAGATTGATTTTGGTACTGTTTTTTATCTCCATGCTGAAACAATATTAACTCGGGTCTATTACTTCCCAGGCAAGATTATTTCTCAGAGGAGGCTGTAGAAAAAGAATGATGACGAAGAATGTGAAATGGCAAAGAATTTGAAAATAAGTTATTTGGAGTTTGATGCCCTAATTGCAATATTCATGTTGAACATTTATTTGAATTATAATTTTCAGAAGTGTGTGGTTCATTTTGTAGCTGGCAAAGGCTTAACTTTTAAATCTTCTCAATTCTGTGTATTTTTCATATGGTACTTGAATGTTGTAGGATAGGGACTCAAGATAAGTGGGCAATCTCAACACCACATGCTCCTATTTTATCCATCTTTATATTTATTGTTATGTTCATAGATCTTGTCTTCAAGCCTGTTGGTTTTTACTTTAAAATATTATTGACTCTGGAACGTACCAATAGTGTTGGCGATGCTTTGTCTAGAATAGTTGGCCCACCATCATCAATAATTTCCCCTACTTTTCCATCATTAGGACCTTTATTTTAAATCAATTATGTTCCTCTTATGTCTCACCCTCCAGGTATCACCTTTCCCACTAAGTTCTAGTCCTAACCAGTTCATGTTTCTACTTTTTCATTCAAATAGAGTATCATGTACTACAAACTACAAAGATAGACCTTTTATTCCGTTGGAGTGAGTTAGGACCTCAATTGTTACAAAAATTCCAAGAGGTTCCCATTGGAGGTTGTTCCAGGGTACACGGCACCTTGGTTTGTTTGGATGCCTCGTTCTCCTAACCATGTCTTTCACACGATGTTATGGAATTTGTGTGTGCATCCATCTGCTGTCAAACAATCAATTATTCAAATCAGAAACCATTTGGCCTTTGAAACCCCTTCCAATACCTTCCCAAGTATGGGAGAGAAAATATCCACGGGTTACACCCATAATTCAAATCAGAAACCATCTGGCCTTTGAAACCCTTTCCAATATCTTCCCAAGTATGGGAGAGAAAATATCCATGGTTTACGCCCCCATATACCTTTCGTCGAGAAACCTGACATTTGAGTGATCAATGACCACCATATTAAGTGCTTCGATTTGGACACTAAGCCCAGAACAACCATGGTTCATCCCTAAAGGGCTACAACTTTTTAAGAAAACAACATACTGTTCGATCAAAACAAATAAAATTATGACTTTTATTTATCTGACGTCGGACCAGTGATGTCAGATCAAAGCAAATAGAATTATGATTTTTATTTATCTGGCGTCAGACCAGTGATGTCAGATAAAAATGTCACTATTCCATTTATGACCATCAAGAAGCGCCTTAGGAACAAGCATGAACTTGCCCTAACCACTTGATTAGGGAAAATGATTGAAGCAGGGTCATTAGATCATAGAACGAATGATATTCAAACAAATATCCCCTTTCTCCACATATGTCATGCACATAAGGTTTTACATTTTATAAATCATGGGACAAATTGTTCTTTTATACACATATGTTCTGCATATAAGGTTTGATTAGGGAAAATGATTGAAGTATGTCCATTAGATCGTAGAACGAATGATGTTCAAACAAATATCCCTTTTTTCCACATATGTCATGCATATAAGGTTTTAGGTCTTGATCTTGCCGGATTAGAAAGGGGATCAGCAGCTAGCAACACGTCGTGAGCTTCAAGTTCGTTGGTGGTGAAGAGGAAGGTGTATACCTGCAAGACACTCCGATGTCAAAGTAAGGAACGGGGCAAAGAGAGAGCAAGTACAGAAAAGTGGATATGAGTTAGAATACCTGACCCTCCTTTGGAGGAAGATATTTATAATGCGCCCCCAGCGTTGGGCCAACGGTTATCTGCATTGGGTTGGATCTTTAGCCCCAACACAGATAACTGTTAGGATATACGTGGAGTAGGGAAGACTAGCACGTGGTCTTCGTTCTGGGTCAACTACCCCGTGGACTTCGGGAGGTGGAGGACCTGTTCTTGAGGGAGAAACCGTAGCCCAAAAGTCGTGGTTAGTTGGCTGATGACGCGTTCCGCGTGGGGAGCACGTGGAGAGCGCAGGGAAGACGCGTGAGAAGTGTTTCCCGTATGGGATGATGGATTGGCTTTTTGTTAGGTCTTCCCCGACGAAGAGCTGGGTTGGGTCGTGCCCGACGATGGGTTAGCCTCTGGCCCAGTCCAGAGCAAGATCCCCCCCAAGTCGTTGCTTCTAAGCATATGAGTAATGACTTAGGAGTCGATTCTTATGTTGAAGAGGGGCACAGGGAACTTTTCCGGAGGAGCATCGCTCGTGCTTAAGATGACGAATTTGCGGGGCCACGTGTATCGCTACTCGAAAATGCAACGACGAAGAGGCGAAAATGGAAGAACAAAAGAGTCACCATCGAACTTTATTCATCCCAAAAGGGGAAGGGAAAACATCGAGAAAATCCTAAGATGAAACGGATAAGATGGTCTTGCAACCAAGAGAACGGAATTGGAAGCCGGTTATGTGAAGGGAAGGTATTAGCACCCCTCGCATCCATTGTACTCGATGGGAACCATTTGTTTGTCTATGCGTGAAGGTATTTACTAAAGGGGTATTGCTATCTAAATGTTCCAAAGGATAAAGAGAAGGGCTAGAAACAAGGAAAAGAAGGATAAAGGGGAAGAAGAGACTCGGTAGGACCTCACGGTCCTATGCCTACGTATTCTCAACAGGTATGAGAAAGTCAGAGTCGATGTAGTTCGGAAAACTACAGATATAAATGGGAAAGTGTACTCGGCGAGGATTTGGGTTCTCGTGCCTACGTATCTTTACTTAAAAAGAAGTAGAGAATCAGAGCAGTCGTAGTTCGGCCTACGGTTTACTAGGAAGTTTTGGTAGACGATGCTAGCATACGCATTCTAGCAGTTAGGTGTATTGCAGCTTGCTTGTGGAGTCTTATGCGTTACCTGTTTGCGGTAGAACGGACATAGCATGTCTTTCTCTGAGGGAGAACGGGGGGCTAAAGGTGGAAAAGAAAGAAGAATGCTCGCTAGGATCATTGCAATCCTATGCCTACATATTCTCAACAGGCATGAGAAATCAGAGCAGCCGTAGTTCGGCCTACGGTTAACTGGGAAGTTCTGATAGACGATGCTAACATACGCATTCTAGCAGTTAGGTGTATTGCAGCTCGCATGTGGAGTCTTAGGTGTTACCTGTTTGCAGTAGAACGAACGTAACATATCCCTTTTGAAAAGAGGTAGTTTTCGCCATCGAGGCAAGATGTCACATTTGATTTGTGAAAGTTATTTTTAGGGATAAAATAGGTCTTCGGATAGTAACCCCTTGCGGGTAGTACCTAATTATTTATCTCAAAGATTTATTGTAAAAATGGTGTGGCGAATATAGTCGTGTCTTCGTATTGAAAGACAAGTATTGAGACTATACACTCTACAGTGAGTATCCTGGTACTCGGAGAGGAAGAGGTCTGCACTTAATCCTCTTTCTTTAGTTCAATATAGAGAGAACTTTATTCTCTTATTAAAGATATTTTTGATCTTGAACGGTAAGTGCTTTATGACAGTGAACCCTAAAGGTAATGTCAAACACTCGGGATAGGAGAAGGCCTACGCCTAACCATTCCACAACCATTCAAGTTTTATTAAGAAAATGAGTTTGAAAATGCACTTGGTAAGAGATCAAGGTTTTTGACCTAAGAAGTGAAGATAAAAATGAGAAATGGAGTGAATGGGTGATGATTACAAAATTTGATCAAGAGGATAGCCATAACAAAATTGAAATTTGCAAGATCAGACAGAATAAACTCTAAGCTGCAAATTCACAAAATTAGAGATCAAATGGATAATGATAAGTAGAAAATGATGAGAAAGAGGTAGTCGAGACAAGGATTGCAATCATAGGATCAAAACCAACGAGAATCTAAGTCATAAGTCCCAAAAGTTAAAAGTTAAATCGATAAAAAGGAAACTAAAATCGAGATGATAAAAAAATAAAAGAAAACCCTAATATCTACATTTTTGAATATGAATTAAAATTATGAGAACTAATCCATAAACTAAAAAAATGATAAAAAAATATTTTTGAGATTTTTTAACATTACTAACACAAACTTAATTAATCTAAACGAAAATTACTAACTCTAATTTAAGATAAATAGATAAAACCTAGTTTACTAAAATAAACTGATTAATAAAAAAACTAAAATTGATTCTAAATAAAATTCTAAATTTAATATATAAAAATAAAACCTAAATTAATTCTAAAATAAAACTCTAAATTTAATAAGTAAAATAAAACCTAAATTAATTCTAAAATAAAACTCTAAATTTAATAAATAAAATTCTTAAGGAAAATAAAAGATATTGGGCTGGATGGGCTTTTCTTAAAAATTATATTAAAAAAATGAAACCCACAACACACAAAAAAAAGTTGTCGGGTCGAGTGAAGTGACCGGTTTGGCTTAAAGAAAGAGGGTTCAAGAAAACCCTACCACATGCCTCCAGAATTCTGGACCTTTCTCATTCTCGTGTTCAATATTGTCGTTCTCTCTCGACCCATTTTCGCCTCACGCGTATCACCGCCATTTTCCTCAGATTTCGCTTTGTTTCACTTCGACGCAGTTCTTCTTCTCTCAACGACCTCCCTCTCTCGTCTCAAATCGCAGCAGTTTGTTTGGATCTCGGTCTCTTTCTCGCTTACGACGGCCACATTGTTGAACATCGAGGAAGGTTTGCGGTTGAAAGGGATAGAAGATGGTCGGAGGATTTGCGAGTGTTGGTTGAAACGAAGGTGATGAAAACAATAGGTGATTCTTTCCATTTGATCTGTGAATGGAAGTGATGGTCTGAAGCAAATGAATGAGAAGGTAGAGTAAGGTTGGTACGGTGGAAGTGAGACGTGGTGGTGTCGAGAATTTTGACGAGAACAGAGGCGAAGGAAGATTGTTGGTATGTATGGAAGGAGATGTTGTTGTTGCTGTGAAGAGATCGTTCTGCTAACATGAGAGGAGAATCGATTGGGCAGCGAAGGTGAGTACTACGTAACAAATTTCTTGGTATTTTCAAAATGTTCCTTCTTTTCTTTTTCACAGTGGTGGATATCATGTAAATCCTTCTCCT